CCTTCCTTCCTTCCTTCCTTCCTTCCTTCCTTCCTTCCTTCCTTCCTTCCTTCCTTCCTCCCTCCCTCCCTCCCTCCCTCCTTCCTTCCTTCCTTCCTTCCTTCCTTCCTTCCTTCCTTCCTTCCTTCCTTCCTTCCCTCCTTCCCTCCTTCCCTCCCGGCCGTTCAGCTTCTCTAATTGCTCTTGCCTCGGCCGCTTTTGCAAGGGCGGCGGTCGGCGTCCCAATTTTGGCCGCGAAGGACTGGCGAGGAGCCCCAGGCCAATTCCAAGAGAGGATCGGGAAGCCCGCAGCCTCCGCGGGATTTACGCCTGAGTAAGCGGACTTGGCCCGAGGCTCTGGGGCGGGCAGTCCGGCGACTGCTGCTTTTCCCGGAGCCAGAGAAGAAGCCGGTCGGCCAGCGCAAAACCTGGAAGGTGGCCTGGCGGGGCGCCCCATCGGCTCTTGCGGAGCCCGCCGGTCCTCTTGTCTTCCCAGCCGGCCCTTCTCTGCCCGGGAAGCCCCGGATCTGCAGGGGAGAATAACCGAGGGTGTGTTTGTGTGTGTGTGTGCGCGCGAGAGACCGGACTGTTATTTGGGGAGACTGCTTCGTTCCAACATGTGACACCATTTCTTTTCTTCTTCTTTCTTCTTCTTCTTCTTTCTCTCTTCCTCCCCCCCCTTTTTTTCTTTTCTGCAAAGCCACATCCCACCTTTGAAAGTGGACCCGTTGACAAGTAAGGCTAATAAATGAGGGGCGCTTTCAGATAGACACCTCAGACGTGAAATTGCGCCCAGCTGGTTGTGTAAGCAAACAAATCGCCCCATGTCCGAGGCTCTCGACTTGTGGCGGTGATGAATGGACGCCAGAGGTAAATGGCTCTTTAACTTGTTTAGGAATAAAACTCTTTTGGCTTCCCAAGTCAAAGCGCCCGGGAACGGCGTGGATCCGGCGCGAGTTGTTTTTTTTTTTTTTTTTTGAAAAACAAAAGAGTTTTATTAGCCTCTACTTGTGTCCCCCCCTTTCTTCTTTCTTCTGACCCCAGGGAGCTCTCGTCAAAACGTGGACTGGTTAGGAAGCCCCGGCAGGCCCGCGCAGGAAGACCTGGGCGAAGTCCTTAGGGCTGACCAGTCGTCTTTTCCCTTGGAAACCCATTAGAAAAGATGAGCCTATTTTCTTTTTCTGGTTGGAAATATATTTCACTCCTCTCTTTGTGGAGACTTAAGACTACCTTAAGACGACCAAACACCCTATTCTGACCAGACATAAAACAAACTGCAACCCAAATTCTGTTCCTGTAGGAAAGTGTGTGGAGTTTCCCCTCTCCGTCCAAGCTTGTTAACCTAACAAACTCCTTTGAAGGGATACTTTTAAACTCCTACTTTTAAAACTCCCAAAGTAGTTTAGCTCTGAGTTATTCCAGTTAACTGCAGAGAAATGTAAAACTCTCATCCTCTGCAAACATTTTATCTGCAAAGAAAAATCATTTGACTTTAAGGTAACATATTGTACACACTCACACACACACACACACACACACATACTGACTAGAGTTACTTCATGATAGTGTGACTTAAAAGGAAGCAGGCTAACTAAAGTTCTTTTAGCCACGTGAAGAAGAGTCTTTAGCTTGAACTTCTTATAGATGTTTTATTTGCTATAATACTACCTTTTCACAGATGAGGCTGTCCAAAATACACTTGTTCATTGCCTTTTTAATCTCACCTTAAGCATGAGCCAATAGTCCCCTTTCTCTCTTCCTTTTATTCTCCAGTCTCTCCCCCCCCCACTTCCCCAGCTTCTAGTTCTTACAAAAATAAATCTGCTTTCCTTGGTTTATATACTAAGACCAAAGATAATTTGCATATAGCAATTATAGGAGCCCAGCCATGTTGTCTCTCTTTAAAAAAAAAACAAAAAACCAACAACTAAACTGGCCATAGCTGAATTCCACTCCTCATCCAAAGGCCTACAAACAAATTAAATCCAATTGATGGTTGGAATACAACACCTCTTCACTAATCTTGGAAGCATCCATTCCCCTAATTTTCTCCCAAAATCAGTTTACCACTTCCTGGTTTCTTCTGGTATCTTGGGTCAATACTCCTATTACCACAACTAACAAAGACCCCTGGTTCTGTTGGACATGAGATGCTGGAATGTGTAGTCAATAGATCTGTAGGGCACCAGGTTGAAAGAAAGATGTTCATTTACTTTAAGCACTTCCAGTGTTCAGCTGCCAGCAAAATGCTGAGGTTTCCCCCCCCCCTTAGGAAGATGTAACCCTTTTTCTCCCGAAGGCACGAAGACGCCTCTAAACCTTATTATCCTTGAAGACAACAACGAATGTACAAAAAAGAGCCTGTAGTGAGTGAATGAAAAAAGTGCTACTTTAGAGACAGCTTTCAGTTTCAGAGTTTTGGAAAAAATAGGGCCCTATGCTTAAAGCCATAGTTTCATTATGCAAAGTCACACAGACAGACAGACAGACACAAAGACCCCACCCCTTATCAAAGGACCTGAAATTTCCATGACTCCTTTCAGAACATCCCAAAATTCAGCTGTCTAGAAAAGGCTAGATTGAAACAAAGAACAGGAAGAGGCCAAGCTTTATGAAAACATTTGCCCAAATCAACTAAAATTGGCTGTTTGGGAAGAGGATCTGTAACTGCAGCAAAGATGAACCCAAGGCCATAGAACTGAAGCCTAAGTAGTATCCTGGCTTCCAGAGCAAATCAAGGTTTATTTGGCAACCATAACCACTTCCACAGCGGGCAGGATTTTGGGGATTTATTTATTTTGTTCAGTGTCACTGCTAGTTTCCAACCCATACTTCCCACAACATTTAGATAACCTTGAAAGATAGCTTTGGTTTATAAAACCATCCCCCCCCCTTTTTTGGCATGGCTAAAGATATCATGCTGTATGACTAGAAGCAAAAGGCTTTTTTCTAAGGCAGCTGGCTAGCTGAGATTCTGTGCACCTACTGGCCCAAAGTTTTCCAACAAGCATCATTTGGTTTCTCCCTCCCTTATTAAAACAATCTGGGAAGGCCACATTCCAAGTATTACACAAGAGATCTGGAAATAAAAAGAAACCCTGGTTGTGATATACAGTAGCCCCAGTCTTGTAAAATACCTTATCTAGACTTTTTGCTTCCTTCCAGTTTTAGAACATTTATTCATATTATGGATTTTCACATCAAAAATGAGTTAGGGTGGGCAAAAAGAAAAAAAATGATCGGAGAAATCATAGCCTGGTTTTATGAATTGGAATCCATCTTATAATTCTGACAAAGCTTTGGGATTTCTCAAGGACCTCAATGCTACCGAGGGCTAGATAGTGAAGGTCAATCAAAGACTAATAGAGAATACATTAAAGTGCCTGATTCTAAAGGCAGGTTTCTCTGGTTCCACTCTGCAAAATTAGAGGGACATGACCAGTTCAGTTTTAGGCAGCATTGAAACAAATGAAAGCCAAGGTACCCGTGTTTTCTGGACAAGGACTAGTCTTACAGACTAGGGGCTGACAGAGGTGATTATGCAGCTGTAAATGCTCTCCTTTTAGAAATTTGGACTCATTGGCTAGGTGTTCTAAGATCTCTTGCATTGGAATACTGAGGAAGGAAGGAAGGAAGGAAGGAAGGAAGGAAGGAAGGAAGGAAGGAAGGAAGGAAGGAAGGAAGGAAGGAAGTCAACTGAGTTAGTCTGGAAAAGCTTGTTAATGAAAACAAAAAGGTGCAGGAATGCAGGCAGCAAATTAATAGGGGGGAAACTTGCCATCAATTTCTATAGCTGAAAATCATGCCTTATCACGAATCCTTCCTAGTTTGGAGGACTAGGAAGAGAAGCGGGGAGAGAGAGAGGATGTGGGCGGGGAGACTCTCACGAATGTTATTTTTTTAAAGATCTGGGCTTTATTAATACGTTAAGAAAGAGCTCCCTTGGCAGTGTAGATTCTTTCAGCTCCATCTCAGATCCTATAAAACATTAATGCGCTGAAAGCTGTTACCGGGATTGGCAAAGACCAGCTCCAAGCCCTGGGAAAGTTGTTGTCTTCAAAAGGGGTTCTGCACTGAGAACTGCTGATGCACTTGAAAGGGTGGGGAGGGAGGGTGAGAAAGAAGCTGGGAGGGAGACGGAGCTTTCCCTCCTCTGTGTTCAAATGAAGGAGAAGCCTCAAGGAGACTCCTCAATGTCCCCCCCCCTCTCCCCGGAAGGGCACAAGCACCAGACATTTGTATCTACATTTCTCTTTCACTCTTATGCCACCCTCTGAGGACCAGATCACTGGGAAACCCTTCTCTAAAGAACCCAGAAACCTGAAGCCACATTAACTGTTATGGGGTGTGTGTATATATGTGAGGGAGTTTAGGACCCATACAAAAAATTATTTAACCTCTACAAAGATACTGGTCTCTTATACACTCCACAGGCAGTCTCCACCCCCACCCCGCCACACAGAGCATTCCATTGGTATTCTGGATTATGCACACAGAAGGATTGAAAGCCACCAGCAAGCTACCGCATTAAAGGAAGGGATTCTCCAACTCTTGTTTGTCAGCTTTAGTCACAAACCCTGAAACATCAAACCAATTGGCTGGCGTGGGAATGCCTAGAGACAGAGGCACCTTACTAGAAACCAGGTTCAACCTGTTATCTTCATTCCCGCCCCTTGAAACTCTGGTGGAAGCTGCAAACCAAGGGGCTGGTGTGGGGAGGGAAAGGGTGCCCCCAACTCCACAGACAACCAAGTGGGGAGGGGAACTCCAAGGAGCACAGATGGGGGGAGGGCAGTGGGACTCTTCACGCCCTTCAGGGTGTTCTTGCCTTTTGTTCTTTTTGCTAAATTCTTTTATTTTTGTTTAAATTCTCACTTCAATTTTTAATTCTTGAAGAACAGCTTCGACAACATATATCGCACTCATTATAAGAAGCAAAGGGTTATATCAAAAATTATTAGTATAGAATCACAGGAAGCCTGGTTTGGAACCAGAAAAAAATACAAAACAGATATAATAGATACATACACACAGAACAATTCCTTGCTTTTTTTTTTAATAATTATTTGGAAAACGTTATTTCCCCCTCCCTAATTTTTTTTGTTTCTTGTGTTGGGTTTTTTTTCTCCTTTATGCGCATAACGATGTTTTAAATTTTACAAAAAAAGTGAAAATAAAGACTAATATTTTACAAAATGAAGAACAATGTTCGTGGTCAGTGTTTACCTGTGGATCCCCCCGCCCGTTCCCCCTCCCCCTCAAGTCAGTTCGGCTTCAGTTTCGTTTCTTAAAACTCCGTTTGCTGTACAGTTGATCACCACTCCGGTCCGTGATCAAGCCAGGAAAATCCATCTAATCCTCTTCCTCCTCTTTCTTTCTCGGAGGGGGCGGGGCGGGGCGGGCGGGCAGTATAATGGGACAATCCCTTCGGCCTTTGCTATTTTTGTTTCTTCCTTTTAAAGTCTCCCACCTTGGCGTCCGCCGTTGGTTCCAGACAGGCGAGCTTGCCCCTTTTGGCCACCGCCGCCGGGCCCGGAGTTGCCAGCCTCCTCCGCCAGTCTTTCCTTCAAGACGAGGTTTCCGGGCGCCCGGCCTTGGGGAAGTGGGGCGTTTGTGGGTCCCTTTCTTTGCTCTCTCTCTCTCTCTCCCTCTCTCTCCCTCCTCGGGACCCCCTCTGGCCGCTCAGCCGCAAGGCCTGTGGCGGGTGCGCTAAGCGGGGGAGGCCAGGGGCTGCTCTAGGAACACTGGATGGACATGTAAGGCCAGTTGAAGCTGCTGCCGGAGAGCAGCATGTCTCGGATGAGCGTCTCGATGGGGGTTTTACCTACCAAGCGGACGAAGAAGAGCTGCTCGATGACCGACGAGGAGACGGTGCGCAGGGAAGGCAGCCGGAGGAGCAGCTTGCCGAAGCGGCTGGGCTGGTTGGGGTACTGGCTGCGCACGTATTCCTCCAGGGCGCACTGCGATTTCTCCTGCAGGCTCTCGATGTGCGCCGCGTCCGACAGGCCACAGGCATCTGTCCGGCCACCGGGAGAAGCAGCGCGGGCGAGAGGGAGAGAGAGAGAGAGAGAGAGAGCAGGGCAAGAGGGTTAGCGAGGGGCGGGCCACCGCGGCCAGCCGCCAGGTCGGCCCCCACCCCCTCTCACCACCGGAGACCCCGGGACCCCAGGCAGCTCCCCCCCCGTGGCCTTTCGCGGCCTCCTTCTGCATCTGGCTGGCATCTCTCAAAAAAGGACCCTGGGGACGGGGTGGGGGGAAGCGGAGCTGCCCTTCTCGGCCCGACAGCGCCGCGGCTGCAGACGCCGGGAAGGGCCCAGGCCTCGCTTCCTTCCTTGAGTTGCATCCTATTGTTAGCCGGTGGACACGCGCGCTTGCCCTCCCCGCGGAGAGCCAGCGAGCGAGGCCGCCAGGCCCCGCCAGCTGTGCAGCTTGGGGTGGGGTGGGGTGAGGTGGGGTATCCTTCGTGGACGGTCGCCGAAGGACGCCTCCCCCCTTCCGGCGCCCCCCCCCCGCTCCAGGGAAAGGGTCCCGGGGGTGGGGGGACTCCATGGGGCCAGGGCTGCGCATGCAGGCGAGAGAGCCGAGTCAGGCTCGCTCGCACCAAAGGCCGCCGCCTCCATTTCCGGGAGGGGAAGGTGGTGGTGGTGGTGGTGGTGTGTGTGTATGTGTGTGTGTGTGTGTAGGGGGGGACTGAGAGAGAGAGACGGCGAGCTAGAGCAGCGCGCTCGCTTTGTCTCTGGATCTGGACGGTCGGAGTAATTGAAATTTGGTGGCATCTCTAGAAGCCGGATAATCATTGCCGGGAAAATGGCTCAGCTCCCCGCTTCCCCCCCCCACCCGCCCACCCGCGCTAAGAAGGCGTCTGCAGCTGCTCGCGCTCGCGCTCACAAAGCTGCGCCGCCTGCCTGGCCTGAGCTGGGAGGCTGCAGCTATACCCGGGGAAGAAGGCCTCCGGAGAGTCGGGAAAGTGCCCAGCTCCAGTTCTCTTTCGGAGGGGGAGGACGCGCATTTCCCGGAACCAGAAAGCGGCACAAGAGACCCCCCCTTCCTATGTATATACATATTCTGCGTCTACCTGCTTTCCTCCTTTCTCGTAGGGTTAAAAAAAAAAAACAGGGCCGGGGTATCAACCCATCCTTCCTAGTAGCTTTCCGGCCGCCTCCATCATCATCATTATTATTATTATTATTATGGATCATCGCACAGTCAGCCAGATGTTCAGACTGGATTTGGCATTTTGTCTACCTATCGAGTCCTTACCCAGGACCTATTATTATTATTATTATTATTATTAATTTAGCTTTTGGGGAGGTATGGGGAGAGAAAAAAAATAAAAGGCAAAGAAAAAGAAGCGGTGGGGGGGGAGAAGCCACCTGCGCATAAGCGGCGGGTGCTTCGGGCGGGGAAGCGGGGAGCCGCTGTCGTCTGCCTTGTTCAGATTCGCAACTTGTTTTCTTCTATCAATAATAAATATTTCAAAACATCGTGATCACAAGGCAGCCGTCAACCAGCGCGGCGGTTTAGCGGAGATCAAAGCAGCTTTTGAGATGGATGTGCGTGCTTCGTGTGTGTGTGTGTGTGTGTGGGAATGGTGTGTGAGAGTGTGTATATGTATGTATGAATGTATTAATCTGGGGGAGGGTCGCCTGAGCAGACCTTGAAAATGTAATACCTAGAAAAGGGCAATGAAACATTATTTGCACAAACCCTTTTGAGCTAGTTGTTTTAGCTGGGATCTCCCGTTTTGCGGCCCGGGCTCTCAAAAGATTGCCAGGCACCTTCGCGCCCACGCTTCTGGCCTCAAGCGAAAATAGAAATAAACCAAGCTATAATTCAAACGCTTCTGAGGAAAAGACCTCCATGACCCCAACTACAGACTAAGGACCGCTTAGATGTACAATTACACACACCCCGACTGTTGTGCTAATCCATGCTTTTGCCTTAAATGCAGTGATCATTTGCAACATCTAAAATCGGGGGAGGAGGCGCAAAGAGAGAAAAAAAGAGTGAGAATGTGTGTGTGTGAGAGAGAGAGAGAGGGGGGGGGGAAGGAGGGAGGGAGGGAGATTGCAATGCACAGACGTCATGCAACAGAGACCTGCCCTTATTTGTGGCCCATTATAGTGAAGAGTCACTATCTTCTTTAGCTGTGACTAAGAGATCTTCCTCCTCTGCACTCTTTTGCTTCTACTCCCCCCCCACTTTGCCACGTTGCCCTTTTCCACCAGGGTCTTTAGTTTCAGGCAACTTCTAAATAAGGCTGGATGAAAGGGTCTGGTTGCCTCAGCATATCTCTTTGGAGGCTCCCTGCTCTATTCTCTGGATTGGTGAAATATTTATTTCTGCTTCTGCTTTCTCCAGCTTGAGGCCACCACTGGGATTGTGAGAAAAGAACATCGGCAAAGCCCCCCTTCTCCTTAATATATCCAACAGATGCTTATTAAAACATATCTTCTTCTGTTATTTTTTTCCCCCCTTCAATCTTTACTCCTACCTAGTGCACGGGGGGGGGGGTGTGGACTTTGAATGTACTCGGCCCTCCCCAGCAAACATGTCTGGATCAAGGAGATGCTTTCCAACCAGACAATCTGAAAATTAATTAAACAATCTGTGCTATCTGATCGATTAGCTGATTGAGTTGAGATGAAATAGACCAAAGAAGGAAAGTGATGCATGCTCCCCTTCTTTAGCTTTGCAGAGAGGAAAGAAATGAGAGGAAGGGGACTAGGAAGGCAGAAGGTGGTGGACATAAAAACTGTGTTTCTCTCACTTTTTGAAGAGGTTATAATTTTCCCTGCAGTCACTATTTGTTGGTATTTTCCTTTCCAATCAATGGCAGAGAAACTATATAAATAAATAAAAATTACTATACGTGTACTACACAGGACTAGCACATGTCAACCAGCTTTTGTTATTAGGTGGAGAATATTTTACCTAATGTACTTAGGAGTCTTAAGCACTGAACAAAACAAAACAAATATACTCTTTGCAAATGAGAAAATGAGAAATCAACACTGTTATTGTGTGGGAGATAGATTTATACACCTGACCTGCTCTGATATTTCTGTGGGTAATATTACCCCTATGATTCTAAGTTGTGGAGAGGAATGTGCATTTCTATGTGTTAATTAAAAATTGGCATATTGGTGTGAAAAGTAAACATGTTGGAATTACTTTTAAGTTGCTGCTTAACTTGAGGATAGTCTCCAAAACGTCTTGTGGGCAAACAAAAATACTCTGAAGTCCAAATGATGCTGATCAAATAAATAAATAAAATATAAGAAACATACTAATCTCCAAGCAGGCTTAAACACTGATCTCTCATCTAAAAAAACCCAATGATTTTGAAGCAAGACTTATTTTACATTGAGGATCAGATTGCTGAGTTAAGCCTTTGGGACCAGGTGGCTAAAAATGTTTTCTCCATCCATCAAAGTTTGCTTAAAAAGTTGGATGGCTTGATGAAAGATTTGCCATCAATTACCTTATGGCCAGCAATCAAAACAAGATTAGCCCAAGTGGAAATGAGTGTATATGAAAACTGAAAGGGGGAGGTAGTTGAAGTGGGGGAATGTGGGGGTGGGTGGGAAAGAACCATCAAAGGGGTTATGCTGGAAAATACTAGTCCAGTGTTACCAATTGTTATTAAATGAATACTTATGAACAGTTAACATTGCTGTGAACTCCCCCAAAATATAGCAATAATATCTGCTTTATTAAACCAGCCTGGTAAGGTTGAACCTTGAGGATTTGAGAAAATGGAGGGGGGGTGTCAGAGCTTTTATTCTGGGGGGCCATTTCAGTGAAGTCCTTTTAAGCAACCACCTTTCTTTACATTCTGGCTGAAAAAGTGCTGTTTTAAAACTCATCTGAATATTTCTGCCCTTTGTCCAGTTCCCCTTGTCTCCAAAGGAATAAATGGCTAAGAAAAAAAGTATGTCAGGCTGCAGTTGAAATCACCCTGAAAAATGCCAGCAGGGACCCTTTTTGTCAGTTGTGAAAAACATGTTTCCGCCAGAAAAACAGGCCAAAGATAAATGCAGCCCAAACGGCTCTAAGGCTGCTTCGTAAATCTCCCCATTTGTTTTAAGATCTGCACTTGATCCTCTGCAAAGAAAGAGTCCTCACTCCCAGCCCTGCATTTCCAGCCAGAGGAACAAGGGGGGGCAGTCATAGTCCACCTCTCTGACCATTGCGCATACCAATGAGTCCCCACCTAAATAAATTATCCAGTGTTCAAATCGATATTAATACTATGTTTGCTACATTAAGGTTTTGCACAAACTTAAGAGTCATTTGACTACAATGTAAATACTATTTATCAGGCATGTGCGGCTAGAAATATTAATAGATTCTTTCTCTAAATCAGAAATTCAGCAAGCTGGGCCAATCAAATCTTTGTGTATTGCTTGGCTTCAGGTTTAAGGGGAAATTTAATAGCACTAAAGCACACACAAAGATTTAAAAAAAACAACAGCATAACCATATCCATGATTTTTCAATCCCAGACATTTGAGCAGACCTGCATGTGATTGTCCAGTGTAGAGTGCAAATTTAAGTCACAGACAGCCATACCTTTCCAGTAAGACTCAAAGGCCATCTTGTAGATTTATTCATAAATCTTTGATTTTGTTTATACGTGGCTCAACCAGGTTTGCAACAATAAAAAGATGCCTGAATTTTTATAGACTTCAACCAGAGCACTTCAAAGGTGAGGTTAATATCCTCTTTTGCAAAGTTAATTTGAGCCATCTATCATAAACAAAATTATGGACCAGCATGTTATATCCGTCCCTGTTTCTAATTTAATTGTGTGGGGGTGGGGGTGTTGCAACCAATCTGTTAGTATTTGTAGAGTTGCCTTGTGTGTTTTTATGTATTTTTATCTCCAAACCAGAGCTTGGAGAAGAAAAACTACAGAACCACAGAAATGTTTGGAGATTGGGAGAAAGAGAATAATAAATGGGGCTGGAACTTTGAGAAAAGGGCAAGAAAATATCTTTGAAAATCTTGGGGAGCCCCCCCCCTCTCTTTTAAGCAGGAAAGGGGGTGAGGTTTTTTTGGCCTTCAGGTCAATTTTTACCTGCTCCTCTGATCTCAGCAATTGGAATTATGAATACTTTCCAGTAAAGGGGGAGGGAGAACCACACAGCAATAAAGTAGCAATGTGGAGGATTTATTTGTATCTCTGCCTTCCTGTTCAACAAGCTCTGGTGAAAAACCTTAGCCAAGATTTTAAGCCTCCTCCTTCTCCTCCTCCCTTCTTTCTCTTGCTCTCCACATTTTAATTTACTCCCTGCTTGGAAGCCAAACTCTGGCCAAGGCAGCCCTTAAGCCTCCGCTTGGCCAATTTCACCACAGGCCTACAAGTCGGAAGCTGTCCCGGCCCAGGTCCACCAACTAGGGAGGCCTGCACGCCAGGCCCTGAGCGAGCTTTGCCTCTCGCTGAGTCAGGAGGCAGGGAGCTACCTCTTCCTTTGGCCCAAGTCTCCGGGGAAAGGCTGCTTCACCTCCAGCCTCCTCCTCCTCCTCCTCCAGCCTCCTAGCCTAGCCCAGCCCAGCCTGGCCCAGCTCGGCCCGGTCCGGCCCACTGACCTGAGGTGAAGAGGACGATGGCTTTGAGGCAGCTGTATTCGGCGGAATCGACGTGCAGGGCCTTGAGCTTCTCCACCTGCTCCTGGAAGATGCGGATGTGGTCCATGAAGGCCACCACGCGGTCGGCGGACATGGGCGAGGCGTGGAGGCCGGCGGCGGCCAGGAGCGGGGCCACGTGCAGCGGCATGGAGCACTGGGCGGCGTTGAGCACGAAGAGCTCGCTCCAGGTGAGGCGCAGCAGGGCCACCTGGTCGGTGATCTGTAGGTCCGGGAAGAAGGGGATGTTGCGGGCCCACTCGACGGCGCTGAAGAGCAGCCGCGCCGCCAGCTCGCAGATGTTCTCGATGCCCATGATGTTGTTGGGCTGCATGCACTGGCTGCCGTAGCGCGACGTCGGGTAAGGCTCGGCTCGCAGCAGCAGCGAGATGTAGCCCGACAGGTAGCAGTGGCCGTTCAGCGGGTCGCCGTTGGTCAGCGCGTACTGGCCCGGGTTCGGCTGGCTCGGAGGCATCCTTCCTCGCTGAACCGCTGACGAAAAGAGGGAGAGAGAGAGAAAAGGAGAGGAAATGTGCATCCGGCAGCCTGGGCAAAAACCCCAGCCCTCCCCAGAAAGCCGTCGCCCCGCGCCAGGCAAAGCAGCGCAGCAGCAGCAGCAGCAGCAGCCGCAGCAGCAGCCCAAGCAAAGCGCGCGCCCGCGCACGCACAGATACACACACACACACACATACACACTCACAAGCGCGCTCCCTCTGACACACGCAAACACACACACACACACACACATAAATCCGAAGGTATGTGTATTGGTAACACGGCAGACACAGACACAATGTAAGCCTCCCTCCCCCTCCCGCAACCTCGCATTGTTGTGCAAATGGGGACGCCCAGATGCTCCCTGCGCGGGAGGTTGTCTTTCTCCCCGCAATAAAGGTGGTGGTGGTGGTGGTGAGAATGAGGATGATAATAATAAGAAGAATGTGGTACAGATAAAAGCACAAGCTTTTCAAAGCTGCTTCTGCCAACGCTTAAAAAAAAAATAAAAATCAGGTCCCACCTGCAAAATGTTCCCGCTTTGTCTTTCCAGAGAACCAGTGAGACATTCTGACTCCTCTCGAGCCCAGTCAGTGCTCAAAGTTCTTGCAATTGCAAAATACCATCCAGCCAAGCCTCCCCTTTATTTGCCAGTCTGGAAGCACAATAAGGCTACCAAACTGGGAAGGGGGGGCAGTGTGGGGGTCAGGGAGAGCTCTTCTTAGCCTTGCAAGCTACTCTTGCCTAAACAATCAGGTCCCAGTCCAACTAAACACACACACACACACACACACACACACACACACACACACACACACAGGGCAAGCTCCTACCCAATTTAAATGGAGCACCCTGTATTTAAAAGGATGGGGTGTGCATGTGCTGTTATTGGTAAAAGAGATGAATTAAAATAAAATGTGAACTTACAGAAGCCAAACATGAGCGGCAAGGAAGGAAGGATAGCACCAAGTCTTTAACTGTGTGGTTCCAGAAAGCACCAACTTGCTACTGCTTTGACCAGTGAAGACAAACATTTGCAACTGTGCAGCATGCACAATACATACATACAATACAGACGTACACACACCACATGCCTGCACGTACTACTCGAATGCCATGGATTCATTCACTGTCCCAAATGTAAGCGTGTTTGGATTTATTTAAAGCTGAACAAAGTTTGTGTATGTGTGCATAGGCATAAGTGTGTGGATTTACTCATCTGAGGCCAAAAAATTCTAACCTGAGACTTATAAATAAAGGTGACAAGGTGAAGGGAGGGCCTCTGGTGAATATTTTAACCTCTCCAAATAAATATTTTCTGTTTCATTCCATTACATATTTTAATAATTTTCCATCGGGCTATTTCTGTGTAGCTGTCAGAACCTTACCTCAATTTCTGTTACTATAGTTTAGATTTCCAAAGCTGCAGCTGTGCATTTCAAACACAGTTCAAAGATAGTGAGGGATTTATCTCCTTCATATATTTCTGTATTGAGTAATTTCTAGTTATGTTTCTTCAAGATGTCTTTCCTCACAAAAGCTGGCTGAAGCTACAAATGAAGTCATCAGTAGACAGTTTTTTTTTTTTAAAAAATCCTTTTTTCTATGGCACAAGGGGGAGAGTATTTTCATTGCAAAAAATGATTTTTTTTTATCTATTTGACACTTAGGACATTTTTAATCAGAGCATGGGAAAGAGCATATATTGCAGTACATGTGGGTAAAGGAAAAAAAGTAAGATGGAAACATATTATAAATAAAGGGCTTCTCTCTTTGGAGTGGGAAAGGAATCTTGCTATTACAACATTGGAAGTATTTGTGTTTGTTTTCAAACATTGACCAGCACAATGCAGAAATAAGCTATGCCTTATGGTAACAACAACAACAACAACAACCATTGACTTGGGGGTGGTTTGCAACGGTAAGTAGTATTGTATTTAAGAGACAATGAGATCTCATAGGGAAATGAAACGAAGGGCACACTGAGGAATGGGGGTGGGGAAATGGCAAAAGTAAAAAAAAAAAAAAAGCAGAGCACATTCACAAACTTTCCTTCCATGAGAGAAAAAAGGAATCTGGGCAAAGGCCAGATGTTGGGAAACGAGGAGTAGCTAGCAGGTGAGCAAGGCAGCAGAGAGAAGCAACACAAGCAGCACAATTCACACAGAGAGACAGACGCACGCATAGCCTTGCCGTACATTTCTTCGGGGAGGTGGGGAAGTTTGACTCATCTTGAAGTTAGGATCCCCAGCCACCACCCTTCCCATTTTAATAGGGAATTAGAAAGAGTGAAAAAAAAGAGGCAGGTGAAGCCAGCACGGGAAGAAAGGGCTACTTATTTGTCCCTTTCCTCCTTCCTCAGTTCCAAATCTCTTTTTAAAAAAAGGCAGGAGTGGGGAAGAGAGAGAGAGAGAGAGAGAGAGAGCGATTGGACTAGTTGACTCAGACACTCGATAGTCTTGGTTGCTGACATTAATAATAATAACCGTAATAATAATCTGCGGGTGGAGTGGGAAACTGCGATGTGGGGGTGAAGAGGACGGGGGGGGGCAGCATATCTCCCCCACCCTCTCCAGGACCCGCTGTCAACGCGCACCCCACCGGGGAGTAGAATAGGGAGGAAATCATATTCACCTTCCCTCCTCATGCCCACTTTGAGGCACTTCTTCAGGCGGCAGTATTGGCACTGGTTGCGGTGGTGCTGGTCGATGGGACAGTTCCGGTTGGCCCGGCAAGTGTACGTTAAGTTCCTGCGGACGCTCCGCTTGAAGAAACTTTTGCAGCCCTCGCAGGTGAACTGCCCGTAGTGCTTCCCGCTGGATTTGTCGCCGCAGACCACGCACTCGATGTGCTGCTGCTGCTGCTGGCTCTGGCCGGAGCCCTGCTGCTGCTGGCCCTTGTCGCCCGGCGTGGACGGGGCGCCTGGCTGGCTCGGCGTTTGCGGCGTGTGGGGGGCCGCCGAGGCCCCTTGCTGCGGATCCCGGCCCGGCTGAGCTGCTCCGGTGGGGCCGCCCCCGGCCACGTCCTCTTGCGCATCTCGCCAGCTGCTAACTACCATTGCCATATCTCGGGCCCGCGGAGGAAAAAAAAAAAGGGGGGGGGGTCCGCCGGGGAAAAGGCCGGGAGAGGAGGGGGTCCGGGCTGGGGGGGGGGAGGGATGGGGTGGGGGAGAAGGCGGCTTCCCGGGCTGGGGGGGGGGAGCAGAAGCGAGGGATCAGGACTCCTCCCGCTTGGCTGCTGCCGCCGCCGCTGCTCCTACGGCCGCCGCTGCCTGCTCTCTCGGCTGGCTGCTTTCCGCTTCTCTCCCCTGCCCTGCCCCCCGCCTGCCTTCCTTCCTGCCTTCCTCCCCTCCGCCTCGCCTTCCCCGCTCCCGCGTTTTCCCTCTCCCCGCCTCGAATTCGGGGTGATTCCCCGGGAGCGGGCGATGGGATTCCCGCGAGCTTTCGAGCCTTCTCGGCGGTCTCCCCCGCGGCTCAGGAAGCGTTTCTGCGCCGTCCGGCCGGAGCCTTCGCCGCCTTCCCTCCCCCAAGCAGGGCGTCCTTTTTCAAGTTGCAAAACCAAGCGGGGCGAAGCGGGCTGTCGGGAAAGGCATTCAGGAGGGTCACCCTGGGGAGGAGAGGAAGAGGGAGCGGGAGCGGGAGCGGGAGGAGGAGGAGGGAAAGGAGGAGGGAAAGGAGGAAGAGGAGGTGATCGAGTCGCCTGACCCAGTCCGGGCCGGCCAGCCCCGTAACGTCCGAGCGGGTTAGCGGCTCGCACCGCGGGCGGAGAGGCAGGAAGCCGAGAGGAAGAAGACCGCCAGGAGGCTGCCTCTGCAGCCGCCGCCGCCGCCGCCGCCGCCTCTGTCTCTGTCGCCGCCGCCGCTGCTAGGAAGGCTGCCGGTGCTGCGGCCGCCTCCGCCGCCGCCACCGCCTCCTCCGCCACCGTTCGCTGCCGGGGCCCGACCGGGGGTGTCGCCGCTGGATCGCGCTCGTCCCCGCCGCGAGTCTGGGACTGGAGGGAGGCCGGCGAGGAAGCGGCCGAGGCGCAGCTGCCGCTCAGGGCGCGCGGGTGTCCGGGGGCCAGGTCCAAGGCAGCGCCGCGGAGTCAGCCATTCAGGAGAGGCGGGTTGGGAAGCTCCGGGGACGCCGGCCAGAAGCGAGGCGCGGAGGCGAGCGCCGAGTTGAGGAGACACTTTGGGGCTCCGTCTCTCCCTCTCGTTCTCTCTCTCTCTCTCTTGCGCCGCAGCCGCCGCCGCTCTTTCTTCGACCGGGTCTCTCCTTCTCTGTCTTCCCGGCTTTAATTTCGGAGCAAATCTACCGAGGCGAAGGCGGCCGCTTCGCTTTCTCCCGGCAGACGGAGGATCCCCAGCCAAGTGCCAACGCCAAAAGCGAACATGGAGAGCAGCGAATATTACACGCGCGCGGAGGGGAGGGAAAAAGCCAAAGGAGAGCGAGCGAGCGAGCAATCCAAAGTAGGTCGAATAAATAAACCCTCTTCTCCTGGCGCTTTCCTCGCTCGCGCTTCTCGCCGCCTTTCTTCTGCCGTGCTGGTGCAAAAATAATCACTGGAGGTCGCCGAAGAAAACCGCTCCTCTTTCTCCCTCTCTTTTTTCCTTCGCTCCTTTCCTCTACTCCTTCCTTCCTGCCTTCCTTCCTTCTTTCCTTCCTTCTCTTCTTTTCTTTTTCTTCAGAAAAATAATCGGAGGAAAAAAGCACACAGGCACAAAAACCTTCAGCAGCCAAGACTAAAGCCCTCCCCCAAATAGTAAAAAAAAAAAAAAAAAAAGTTAAAAACCGAACGGTATGAAGATGTTAAAAGGCGTCCCCTTTGCTCTTTTCTTTTCTTTTCTTTTCTTTTCTTTGTAGTCTTGTCTTTCCCTTTTCTCTCTCCTTTCCTTTTAAGTTTCCTCTCTCTCTACTCTCGTGGAGAAGGAAGCGAAAGGCTCAAAGAAAAGAAGGGTGGAAAAAGAGAGAAGGAAGAAGCAGCTAAGGGGGGGGGACATCAACTAATAGAATATGCAAGAAACGAGAGAGAGAGAGAGAGAGAGAGAGAGAGAGAGAGAGGTGGGGAGAGAGAGAGAGAGAGAGAGGCAGTGAGTGAGAGAGAGAGAGAGCCAAAAAATGAATGCGTTTCAACGGGAAGACTAGCAGAGCAATGTTTCCGAAAGGGAGATCTGCGCGAATGTCTGTATATAGTGAACTTTGACACTACTATTGAAACTGACACGTTTCTATGGAGATCGCTGCCTTATATGGAGCTCATGTCAAGGAGCCAAGAGAGGGGCTGCTGGCAACTGATAATCAAAGGCGACTGACTGGTCAGAGCCCTGAATTGGGGGGAGAGAAAATGGGAGGCTAAGGTTAGCCAAGCCTCTTTCACTCCATTGGCTGCGTCTCCTCTCTCTCTTGTCTCTTTCCCTCTCGCTTTCTCGCTCCCCCCCTAGCCTTTATTCTTTGCTACCTACTGCCTAAGATAGGGAGGGACGAGGGGGAGGGAGGAAGGAGGAGGGGGATTCTTCTGACAAGCACAATTTACACTGAGATCGCCCTGCTCGGCTATTTACTTTGAGACCTGATTAGTATGGGTCGTCTATGGTCACACACAGACGCACACGCACGAGAAAAGAAAGGAAGAAGGGGGAGGGAAAGAGATGCAGTGGGATAGGCAGAAAAGAGGAATTAAAAGGAAATTATTTTGGTTCATTCTAAAAAGTTTTTTTTTAATTAGTTTTCTCTGTGTCTCTTTGGTTTCCCTTCCTTTCCTCCCTTAGCACCCTGTTTAGGAATTACAGGGCTTGGATTGGATTCCATTGTTTAATGGCTGGAAGTAGATGGCTAAGGAGAATCCATAAGGGAAGTAAGTATTTAAAAATACATGTACGGTTCCATATGTTACTATCTGACACGTTTATCCTCTTTTTCTCTTCCACCACTCTGCCTTCTTTGCCTCGTTTTAAATATCCCTCCCTCTCCGTTTTGTTTTGTTCTGTTTCTTTGCTGTTGCTCATGCCAAGATGAATTTCCTTGATCAGAAAGCAGCATCTCATTTCATTTGAAGATCCCATCTCTCCCGTTTCTTTTTTAATTTTTACTGCTTAATGTATACTAGGTTGGTATTTTAAGTTAAATTCTCCTTGCATCCATTTTTTTCCTCCATAAATATTTTTCTGCTCTCTACCTGAGAACCAATGTTGCAAAAGAAAATTCAAGTAGGAGAGAGAGGAAAAATGTTTTAGAGGAGTGTACGCTGGAAACAGTGCGGTTTCTCTCTCTCTCTCTCTCTCTCTCTCTCTGTGTGTGTGTGTGTGCGTGCGCGCGCATGTGTGTGTGTGTTTGTGTGTGTGTTGAGGCGGATGGAGGACAGATTCTCCTTCCCCAGTGCTAATGGAATCGCTGAATCGTGCTGCCATCTAGCGGACAGAAAGAGAGAGAGGTGAAACTGCAGTTTATATCGCCTATCCCCCCCCCTTGTGTTGAGGGGGAAAAAGCCCAAGCTGCTTATACAGGAGCAGGGGTGGTTGTAAAGTACTTTATTTGTTCCCTTCAAATTCCACAGGGAAAGAAAGCGTGAGGGGGTAAATATTAGTTTCATATGGATAGTGAAAAAAATATTTTTATTAACTTCCAAGACGTTACAACCTCGGTGCTCCGATCGACCCCTTTTCAATATTTTCCCCCGTCTTCCCAACTTCTATAAAACTTCTAATGCCAGAAGGAAGCAATTCCGGAGATGTTCGTCTGTTTTTGCAGAGAAGCAAAGATTGCCTCGGTGGGCGAACCCAAATCCCTTTTCTAGTTTCAAAAGTTCAGAAGCTCAGCTGCAGAGGGGCTTTCTGGAGCCGAACAGGCAGTTTTGCAATTTGATGGTGGAAGAGCGAAGGGTGGCTTCACCCTTTCCACCCGCCTTCCTCACCCCCCCCGCTCTGCAATCAGTTTTCCCTGCCAAGCCGTCCTTATTGTAGGTTGCATTGATAAAAAGGGCGTTATTGAAAATGCAACAGTGGGCTTTATAGCCTCTCTCCCTCTTTCCCAATAAACGCTCGGTCCTGCGTTCTGGTGGTCACCGAAAAGGTGAAACGAATAAGATTAAATCTCTCACACGCACACACTCCCACACTCACACTCACCTCCCCCCCCCAGCTCTGTATGTGTACCATCTAAGATTTTACTCCCCGGACTGCGGAGAGACGGAGGGGAAAAAAAGAGGCAGAGCAAGAGAAAAGCGAAGAGGGAGGGAGAAGGGGCGAGAGCGGGAGAAAGAAGCAGCCCAAAGGAAGCCTGCGAGAGGCACCAGCTCCTTGACAAGCTTTCTTCGGAGTCCGGATCCCCTCAGCTGGCAAGCAGCAGCCCTGGGCCGCCCAAGGCAAGTAGATTTTGCTTTCTGTCTTCTCTATTTCTGGACCAAGTTAGACCCCGGCAAGCAGCACCCAGCTGCTTTGAGCTGGGAAACTCTCCCGCTCTCTCCCCGCCCCGCTTGCTCCTTTGGCAGAGTTCAACCGAAGCGGCAACTTGGACACGGGAACTTTTAAAAATATTCTCTCTCTCTCTCTCTCTTTCTCTCTCTCCTTCTCCGCCCTCCAACACACAGTTTCTGCTCCCGATCCCCTGGTCTTTCTCCCATCACTTTAGCTTTTGCCGGACGCAGAACAGAAGCAGATCCGGCCTGGCTGGGATTTTCCAACCACAAGCAGGTTGGAAGCTCTCTCTCTCTGTGTGTGTGTGTGTGTGAGAGAGAGAGAGACAATAAGACACTCTCTCTCTCTCTCTCTCTCTCTCTGTATGTGTGTGTGTATGTAGGTGGGGGTGCATAGGGCGGGGGCAACTGTTTATAGCCTTGAGGTAGGAAAATGGGAAAACTTAGGGGCCAGAAGCTGTGTGCGATAAATAAGCTTCCTTGTTATCCCAACCTTAAAAAGAAAAGGCCAAATCTATTGATAGGTTTCCACGAAATTAACGGAACTTTCTCCAGAATCCACCGAGCCTCTTCAAGTAAGGAGCTATGCTATGCATGTAGGTTTTCGGCAGACATAATCTGCGCGCGTTTTCTTAAGAGGCAGCCTCGGTTAGGAGCAGGCGCTCCCTCACCTTCCGAGGGGACCCCTCGGGCCCTTCTGACG